CCGGGACGCTTACTTCCATCTCTCAGTCAGAAAACACCACAGGCGCTTCCTGGCCTTCAGGGTAGCAGGACAAATGTATGTCTTCAACGTTCTTCCATTCGGACTCGTAACGGCACCGAGAACTTTCTCCAAATGCATGTCGGTGGTCGCAGCAGCCCTCAGAAGGGAAAAAATCCGCATTTTCCCTTACCTAGACGACTGGTTGTTGGCAGCACGCTCTCCGGACCTCCTGCGCATTTAGGTGGCAAGGACGCTTTCCCTCCTCGAAGACCTGGGCCTCCAGCCGAACGAGGAGAAATCTCATCTCGAGCCCACCACTTGCATAAAATTCATAGGCGCCATGTTCGATTCTCTCTCCCAGTCGGTGTTTCTCCCAGAAGAGAGATTCAGGGCTCTTCGAGCCGAGGCGCTCAAAGTTCGTCGAGCCCGAGTGGTCCCAGCGAAGCAGGTGCAAGTCCTCCTCGGACACATGGCCTCCACGATGATGGTGACGCCGTTGGCGAGGCTCCACTTCCGTCCCCTCCAGAGATGGTTCTTGGACCATTTCAATCCCATGCGGGACAGTGCCGCGAAGCGCCTGCTGGTACCGAAGTCGGTAAAGGACTCTCTGAACTGGTGGATGAACCGCCAGCATGTCTGCAGGGGCATTCCGTTCCACCCGGAACCCCCGGGCGTCACGATCACGACGGACGCCTCGATGTTCGCATGGGGATGCCATACAGGAGACCTCTCAGTTCATGACCTCTGGTCTCCACAAGAAAGACAATGCCACATAAATTACTTGGAGCTGCTGCCAATATTCAAGGCCCTGAGAGCATTTGCCCTCCTGGTCACCGGGAAGTCTGTCCAGATTCTTACGGACAACATGGTGGCAATGTTCTACGTGAACAAGCAGGGCGGAACGGGCTCGAGAAAACTTCTCAAGCTGTCACTGGAACTTTGGGACTGGTGCGTAGCCAGATCGGTGTTGATAACAGCTCTTCACCTCCCAGGCGAGACCAACATCGAGGCGGACACGCTCAGCAGGACCAGGTCAACCTCGCACGAATGGAGGTTGAACCCCGACGAACTGGCCAAGATCTTCAGGGAGTGGGGCCTCCCGGCCGCAGACCTCTTCACGTCGCCGCAAAACGCTCAACTCCCGCAGTTCGGTGCTCGGCTTGCTCCGAACACGGTACCGGGGTGCCTCGGAGACGCGTTCCTTCTAGACTGGTCGAGACATCTGCTCTACCTCTTCCCACCCTTCCCGCTCATCCCGAGGGTGATCGAAAGGATCCAGTCGGCGCGAACGAACTGCATCTTGATAGCGCCAGAATGGCCATGACAACTGTGGTTCTCGGTCCTCCTCCAGCTATCGGAGGGGCAGATGAGACGCCTTCCACTTTGGCAGGATCTGCTCTCCTGGGAAGACGGTCAGCTCCTCCACCCTGACCTCGCTTCTCTGCATCTCTCGGCGTGGCGGATCCGGTCCTGAGGTCTCTGTGTCCGGGAGTTCTCCCGATCCTCGATGCAGCTCACAAGCCAGCAACCAAAAAGTGCTGTTCGGCGTGCCTCAACCGGTTCCAGGCTTTCCTTTCCGAAAAGGGCCTGGACGATGATCGACCGTTGGTACCGTCAATCCTTTCGTTCTTGTTGCACCTTACCGAACGGGGCTTGTCGCTGTCGTCACTCAAGTCTCACCTGGCGGCCATCTTTTGGCAGCTTCAGCGGACAGGAGAAGCTTCCTTGTTTAAGGACAGCTCCATGAAGTCTTTCCTGCGGGGTTTCAACAACCTACACCCCCCAGTCCGCCCCCCGACTCCGGGTTGGGACCTCGACCTTGTGCTGGCTCGGCTCGCACAGGCACCCTTTGAACCGTTGGCATCGATTGACCTTCGACTTCTGTCATGGAAGGTGGCTTTTCTTGTTGCTATCACCTCGGCCCATAGGCCCTCGGAACTTGCGGCACTGCGTGTGGACGAACCGTACTTTGTTGTCCACGAGGACAGGGCAGTCCTCCGCATGGACGTGACATTCCTCCCTAAGGTTGTGTCCCCTTTCCATGGTAATGAAGACATTGTCCTCCCCTCGTTGTGTCAGTCTCCCTCCACCCCGGGGGAAAAAAGACTTCATATGCTCGATGTGCGGAGAGCATTACTCTGTTATAGGGACAGAACTGCTCAGTCTCGTAGGACTCAAAGACTGTTCGTGGCGTATGCCCAGGATAAGATGGGCCTACCGATTACGGCGCAACGTTTGTCCCACTGGATTACCTCGACAATCGAGCTTTGTTATCAGCTTGCTCGACAACAATCCCCCTCGGTTGTCCGGGCTCGGTCAACCAGGGCTATGGCGGCATCGACAGCCTTCCTTAAGGGGATTCCCCTGGACGCTATTTGCAAAGCGGCCATTTGGAAAAATCCTCAGACATTTGTCTCACACTATAGACTAAATACCAGGTATACACCTGACATGGCCTTTGGGAGGGCAGTTCTGGAGTCGTGTCCGCCTTAAACTTTGCAAAGTTTCTTGTATTTTATTGGTACCGGGAGCTTCTTCGGTACCGTATATTGTTGTGAATGTTATTACCATGTTTTTACTTGAATTCAACTG